GTTATCAATTTAGAGCAACATACAATCTTCCAATATCAATCATCATTAGATATGAACGTAATCATCACAAGTAGATACACAACACAATTCAATGGTCCTCTCACGGAACCCAATTCAATGGTCCTCTCATGGAACCCACACCCAAACTGTTAGCAACCGGAACATGGCAACCGATCCCATGTTTATGTCGGAATGTGGCAACCGATCCAAGTTAGTGTGTCGGAACGCAACACCCGATCCATTCAACAAACCACAATCACAATCACAATGTATATTCTCACAATCATACAACAAGAGGTGATTCATGGCATACAATTATTCAATTATCCTCATTTACGATTAGGGTGATCAATAATGCAACATTCGCATACATACATGCATTATAATGAGCAATTACAAACATATATCACACCAACATGAAATCACAATCATCACCTACCTCGAATCCAAGCTTGAATCCCCTAAGACACTTGAATCTTCCCTTTTCGGATTCTTCCCGCTTGTTCGTGGTCTAAAAACATACAAGCGTTATTGTAACCAGATTGCACAAAATTAGCACCACCACGTAGTGCGTTGTATGGGTGCTTCATGAATGCCTTGACAAAACCAACTCCACAAATTGCACCTAAACATTGTGCAATTATATATCCCACTGCCCTTACTAATGACACTTTCCTTGCTAAAAACAACCCAAATGTCACTGCTGGGTTAATATGTCCACCTACAACACACAAAACGGAAAGAGATTTATTTTTAGCAATTTAAGCTATTAACCGCGCGCATAAACATTTTTAGACATTTTTTTTCAATTTCACATAACTAACTCAAAATTCTAGATCCATGAGTTACGGACAGAGTATGAATGTGCTCACCAGAGATACCGGCAGTGCAGTAGACAAGTACAAAAATCATGCCTCCAAAAACCCAAGCAATACCAAATATATGCCATATGATATGCTGGAATAGAAATGGGCTAAATGTCCAACTCCAAATATATGCCAAAATCAATTTGTGATCTCACAAGGGCCGACATAAATTCCACTATTTTATAACTTCTGATTATTTCCTTGATATTTTATTTGTGTTTGAGGGACTGAATTACATACCGATGTGGTAGGCGTAGGTTCCATCATGATCTTGGATTTTGGGTCGTGACACCTTGATAACTAAAATGAGTTATAACATATGTTATGTTGATAGTTAAATAAGTTAGTATATTCCATTTCTTTAAGTTGATGCTTTTATCCTACTAATTTTTTTTTTTTGAATCGAGCGAGATGATATGCTGAAACGGGTGCTAGCAACTTGAAGCATGATCATTAGGTAGGGAAACTTATTAGTATCACAACTATTATTAGAAAGAGAAAATACATTAATTTATAAATATATATTGATTTTACAGAATGCAAAAGGCAAAGAGTGAAGTCCCAGTGGTCCAAGTTGGATGGAACAACTTAGCTAGACCAACTGAATATCCATGACCAATAAAGACACAACCATAGCTAATTGATGCACCCCCATAGATAGTAGCACCAGTGTTAAATGTCCACAAGATTTTTCCATTACTGGCATCCATGGCATAGAGAGGTCCATTAGGTGCCACTGATCCTGCAAAGAGAACTCCATTAGCTATGGTGACTGGCCCAGGGGACGTCTCGTTGCTAGGATTTGCAGTGGTCCATAGGATTTGGCCTGTGTTTGCATCCATTGCCACCCATCCACCAGCTGTTGTTGTTTGAGTTGAAGGTGCCAGGGTGAAAGGAAGTCTGTTTCCATTCACTATGTTAGTGTAAACTCGCCGTCCATCTGTGGCTGCACCCCATATTCCTCCTCCATCCACACTCCCCGGCCCTGCTTTCTACATCATGCAAATTTATCATTTATAGCAAGTTATTTACTTTATTTCTATGTTAACAAATGAAAATACTAATTGATATGATGTGAAGGGTACTTAAAGATGAACATTCTAGTTGTAAGACTTTACCTTAAACCAAACAATATGTCCATCGTTACGATCAAGCGCCCAAGTAAAGCCACTTTTCTGCACAGCCGCCACAACATCACGAAATCTTCCATTTGAAAATATGGTTAGCATCATAGGTGCCTCTCCGAAATCAGCATCCACGTTAGGCCCCGGTGGGCAATCAGGATTATTAGGAACCAAACATGCGAAAGTGAAAACGTCGTACCCACCAAGCTGTGTAGCCCACACAATTTGTCCAGAAAACAAATCCAGTGCAAGAATTGAATCAAAATGAATATCTTTACCAAAACACTGATCAGAAACAACTGGTGGTGTTGTTCGATTGTTTTGTGTTGCTTGGCATTTCAGCACTTCTGGTGGAGCTGAGTAAAGATTTCCATTCCATGATGGGAAGTAAACTACTTCATTTGCAACTGCTGGGGTTGCTGTAATGTCAAATCCGGCTAGGAATTTCCACCTTAATTTCAACTTGTTTATAGTTCGTGGGCTGATCAAAATTTCTCCAGGAGCTGACCTTCTGTTTGTTATGTCACCACCATGATTCAACCACTGTATATTCAAGTCAAGTATGCAAAAAGTTAGTGAACAAATGATTTAGTTTCTAGTCCCTTTGTTCCAATTTATGGAAGGTAGAGTCAAAATTTCAAGTTTATGGGTTCTGAATTGTCACCAAACTCATAGCTCGTCTTTGTTACTCGATCAGTTAACAATTAGATATTTATGCAACACAATAACAACATACTCAATGTAATCTCCTTGTGAAGATAGGGAGGTTGTTTCTGAAAGACGTTAGGCTCAAGTAAAACAATTCAAAGAAGGTTTGAAAAAGAAATACAGTAATGAAGAAGTAATGTTGAAATACTAGAGAAAAGAATAGTAGTTACAACAACACTAACATGACACCGAAGCAAAAAAGACAACAAGTGGTAATAAAAATTGCCAAGAGATAATAGAATAATAATAACAATAATAATAGTAAAGGAAACTTAACCGTGCACTACTAACCTTTTTCTTTAATTCTTGACCTCCATAACTTCATATCTAAGACCATATGTTTGGTAAGATGACTGTCATTTCTTGTTTAATCACCTTCCCGGGTGAATCTTTGGCCTACATATATCTCTCCTCTGACTCCCCCCCCCCCCCCCATATCCAACCTTTTACTTTTTCATTTGGGATTGGGGCATCTTTTCTTCATATGTTTGAACTATCTCATTTTTATTTCTCTCATCTTATCCACCACAAAGACCACTCTCACTTTGTTTCGAGTATCTTCATTCCTAATCATATCTAAGCAAAAGCCATTGGGTTCATCAAAATCCGTAAGCAATATTCTACCTCTAGTCCTAATGCACACTATCATAAATATATGCTTTTTCGTTGTACGTTTTCATCGGAAATCTAGGATCAAAGTTAATTTATTTTTAAATACAAAATAATATAATTTGCTTTTTTCGGATAAACTAAAAAAAAATAATGTGTCGTACAAATTGAAACACTTACTTCGGCAGATGTATGATCTATAACAAGGCAAAATGTGATGATAATTAAGGAAACAAGTTTTCTATGAGTTGAAGCCATATGCTTTATAAGAGGAAAATGGTCAATATTTTAAAGGAATACATGCAAGTATTTATAGGATTATATGATTCTCCATTTACCTATGTTTAGTGTGTGAGTTTTTGTCTTATTTGCGGTACTATACTGGTAGTGTAGAAAATGATGTATGCAAATAAACTTTTATTTGATTTTTTTGTTTCAAAAGCAAGTTCTTTTTTACACTAGGAGATTGAGATATGTGTCTATCAAGTGAGATAATTGCAACAAATTAAAATTACAACTATTGGGAAGTATAAAGTGTTATAACGGATTTAATGATCTTTAGCGACTTTTAATTTATGGTAATAACTTAGTTGTCGTTAAATATTTTTTTAGAGGCAATTAGAACTCTTTATATGTATCCCTAAAGTATATAGCGATATTGGGTTTAATGCCAATTAAATAATAATGATAAAGACTTTAGCACTCTTTGTAATGTGCATATTTATTAGTTGTTTTTGTTATAGTGTAAATCGCATGTTTCACCTTTTATTTTATTTTAAATTTTTGTTGTTTAACAGTTGAATGTATGTTCAGTGAGATATAAACTCTTTTAAAAGTGATGTCTTGTTCGAACATATATTATGAAATATTATGACATAAAATACAAATTTATACCTATAATTTAATTCACTACAAAGGACATAAATTCAAAGCCCAAAAATTCCAAGAGACATTTTCCAAGAAATTTGTTGGGGCGGCTGGATGGTGAGGTCTAATGCCACTATAGGACCCCAAGTTTATTTTTTATTTTTTTTGGGGGAGGCATTACTACACAGTAGAAGAGTCTACAAGCAGATATATCTTCGTCAACATGTTTGCTTATATGACAAAGGGTATTTCGGAACTTTCTACCTTTTCTTCTTTAAGTCTTTGTAATCTCTTACTTTAAGGGTATACTTTTTTTTATTAGACCAAAAAACCAATCAACATTTACCGAATGACTCATATGTCCAAAACTGTGTGGGCTCAACTCATGGGCTCACAATACTATGTCGGCTCCTCGTTCCGTTTTTCCTTTAATAGTAATAGTAATATTTTTTTATTATTCCTTTCATTTCATCTTGATTGAATTTTTGAAGTGTTTTACACCCTTTAAGAAAAGTAAATTAAAATATAAATTGAACATAGTTTTCCATTTTTACCCTTATTAATTATTGTCAAATTTATTGAAGTCATCACATTGAAAATCCAAATGAAGGGTAAAATTGGACGAATGTTTTAAAAATAGTTTTGAAGATTGCACAATTAAGTTAATTTGAAAAATGGAAAATGCCTCAAAAATTTAATTAATATGGAATGGAGGGAGTACTATTTAGTATTTTCATTATATTACATTTATTTCTCTTATTCTTTTTTGTTGTTTATAGATTTAAAAATTATATAAATAATACTATAAATCACAATAATAACAATATAAATATTTAAAAATTATATAAAAAAATTTATTGACTCTTGACATTCTATTGGTACCACATAAAATGGACTTAGATGATAAACATATATTATTTGAAATTAATGTAAATATTTAAAAGTTATATAAAAAAATTCGACTGACTCTTGACATTCTATTGGTACTACATAAAATGGGTTAGATGATAAACATATATTATTTTAAATTGACGTAAAAAGTACAATAATTAATAATTTAGAAAAAATTAAAATACATATAAGAAAAACACCTGACTCTAAAAAATCTATCAATGCCACATAAATTGGGACATGAGAAGTAACATATATTATTTGAAAATTTAAAAGGTGATATAAATTACAATAATTAATAATTTAATATATTAAAAGACATAAAAATGGTTAATTTTTGAAATCCTTTATATGCCACATAAATTGAAACAAACAAAGTATTATAAATTACAATAATTAACAACTTATAATATTTTAAAAAATCATATAATTTTTTTGATAACTTCTCAAGTTCCATGATATCACATAAATTGAGACAAAAATTATTAATATACATTGGGTCCCGTGCTAGCACGGGGTCCAGTATCTTTAGTTTTCTAATAATAGTATATATATATTTGAAAAACATAGTATAGAAAGTAGAAACTACAAAATATTTACATTTTTCATCCTAAAATAATTGGTACATTTTAATTTTTGAAAGTCAAATCAATTAATCTTCAGAGCTAAATTGAATTAAATTAATTTAATATATTAAAATTAAAAGATAGATTTATAAATTATGTATAGCAATTTTTCTCATATTAATATGATAAAAAAAATATATCTCAAAAAAATTGATCAAAATGTATACAATTTGATGGTCTAAAAACAAACCATAACAAGTATTTTTTAATGAAGCGAATATAATAAGAAAGAAGACTTTAAAATTGTGAATGATATTACTGTTGAAAAAAACAAGGTACTAAGAATAACTTATTTTGATCCCTACGTTACTTCTGAATACAATTCATTTTGGGTACTTATAATATTTGATATTTCGAATAATTAACACAAATTATGCCTTCTTATTTTTTACTTTTTACTAAATTTCATTTTTACGTGTTTTCGTTCACCCAAGTAAGCAAATTATATTTCTGTCAAATACAAGGCATGTAGTGTATCGAACATTGTAAAATGCATATTTTTATTATTATGTCAAATAATATTGCAAAGTGATAAATTGAAAAAGTGAGATTTTATTTTGATATAAAGTTATCAAATTCTATCATTCTATTTCATATTTTTAATTTGAGATTTGAGAATAATATATTTCTACTTCATAGGTTTAGATCACTTTTTTTTTCTTTATACTTTTCTTACTTGCTATATCTAAAAAAAATATCAAATAATTTGACTTTATATTATCAATAAAAGGAAGAACATTAAAAAGTAATAAAAATATATTGGGGGTGTGGGGTTAGGTTAAGAACTAGAGTATTAAAGTTTGACTATAGGCCATCAAATCCGTAGAGTCACTTATAGGAGAGTCTCACGTGGGATTACTATATTTAATATATTTTATTTTTGTTTTTGCATATTATGTAAAAATAGGTGTATTTTGTTTTATAAGCAAGATAAATGACATTTATCCTTATAAATTTATCCTATTTCAAATAATTCAAGGTAATATTGACATTTTTTTATTGTTCTCAAATAATCGTGGTAGAAAGATATTTTTGAGCGGCTTAATTAATGTGAGAGCATCTTTGAGCTAATTGCTAACAATGAAGATATTTTTGCGTCAAAAAGAAGATTTTATTTTGAATTATTCAAAAAAGACGGCTCTTTTCCTTTTCCTAATTGGTATTTAAAAACAATTACTGAAAAAATTGGTCTAGCACAAATTATTTTCATAATAACACAATAAAAGCAATACACAACAATTATGGGTCAATAACGATAATATACGTACATTTAAATAATTATGACTAAACTCTATTGCCATTCAATTTTGCTTCCTAATTACTATGCATCTATATAGTTTTATCAACTATATATAGTGGCTAGAAATATACTATTAAAATTGCACTACGTTTGTTTGGCATCCCTAATTTATATGCATATATCAGATAAGATAGCTTTACTACGTATTAATTATTATAGTGGCTATAAGTGGATTAAAATTGCACTACATTTGTTTGGCATCCCTAAAGTCTTCTTATTGAGGTAATAGCTTGTTTGGCAAATTTTGGACTATTAGAATTGCTAATTATTTCAAAAGTAGTACCTATCTATTATAATTTTGTATATTTTTATTTTTTTAATCAGTTTTTTTTTTTAAAAGTCACTTTTTATATTTAGTAATCCTTTTAATCATAATATCCCAAGTGATCACACGTTTAAGATCATAAAATTTAAAGTGCATTATAATATTTTATACTACTTCTAACAAAAAAATATAACTTATTTTTTTTAATTCACTCACAAAATTTAAAAGTATTCTTACTTTTCAAAATTTATGTTCAGTCAAATGAAAACACATAAAATAAAACAAAATTACTTATTTCAGAAAGGAAAAGATGTTAGACACTTTTACTAATTATTTAGAGTAGAATTAACTTTGATTAATACTTGAAGCAACTTTTCCTGTTATGGAAAAAGCCCTACACTACAAAGGGTGCAAAATCATGCTCAAGTAGGGGTGGGAAACGAGCAGACATGGGCTGATCGAGTTGACCCAAGTAGGCTTAGGCTAAGATAAGTCAACTTCTTACCTTCATTCACTTTTTTGTTCTCCTGGTTTTCAAGAGGTGTTTTACTATAAAAAAAGATCATGTCCTTCAAAGATCGATTTTGATAATTGCTTAAGTAAGGTAATCGCTTCTCTTTTTCGATATACCGCTCTGCGAGTAGAGCGAATTAACATAAATCTTTTCAAATATGAGGAGGAAAGTGAGATCTTTCCAAGTTTTTCTAGAAAATATTTTTTGATTTAAGAAAGTTTTTAAATTCTTTTTCCTTACTTTCATATGGAAATTATTTTTAAAATTAAAGAAAAAATAAATTAATTTAAAAAATATTTTTAAAAATATTTAAGCCAATCAAACATGAGAAACTGAAAAAATATTTTTCTTTCCTTTTTCTTATGCCAAACACACTCATAATATGTTTACTTTTTAGCGAGGTCCTACACCCTTACATATCTTAAAGGGAGTGCAATTGGTGATACTCATGAGTCATGGATTATCTATATTATATGATAGACAATATAAATTAATTCATGTTTGACCCATTTTTAAATAATTAATATTTAAATCATATTATGATGGATAATATGAATTGATCTATATTTAAGCCATTTTTAAATAATGTGATACATTTTAAACTGCTTTCTACTCCTAGCAAAGGAAGAAGTTTGAATAAAGAAGATGTTGGTCATTAACAAAAAAAAACTTATTTAAAATGAGTTGAATCTGGCAGATAATCATAAATTTTACCCATATTATCATTTCTGCCCCTTAAGTTATATATTTAACTGGTCCATCTAAATAATTATATTCACTAATTATATATATATATACTAGTTTTTCGA